CTGAATTACTGCATTTGGACTTACTGGGTGTTCACTTGTAATTATTAAGGATGCATAATTATTTGGAGGAATATTCCCCTCCAGAGAATCTCAGTGTTATTAGTAGTACCTGACAGGATTTATCTTCGATTTACATGCTCCACTACAGTGCTATTCAGTATGAGCGTTTTCAAAAAAGCAAAAAACCTGAGAAAATCCAAACCACTGCTAGTTGGTCAGTAGTCAGGTGTAGGAGAGACTCACATCCTTGAAACTGTTTTTTAGGAACAAAGGGCCAAGAGAAGCTTAAGCTATTTTGGTATCTTTTAAGCGTGTTTATGATTTAAGTGAAATGGAACAAAATTTGATTAAAAGCTGAAAGTGTGTGCATCTTCCTGTAACTTTAAAATTTCATTTCTAATTATGTGTTGAGAAAATATAATTAAAGTCATCTGCATACCAAAATAAATGTTATTTACAAATGAAAAAGTAGAATTCCTTTGTTTCCCTGGTAGCTTGGCTCATTAAACACATTTAAAAGGAGTCACTGGTGCTTTGCAGTAAAACGTTTGGTGTCTGCTTCTAAATCAATGTTAATAACTTTCACTATTTTTATCACTGCCATTTTTCATGTCTCTGACCTATTATTCACGATGTTTAATGGGAAGCTCACCCCAAGGATGAAAGGCTTGGTGGGAGGCCCCGAAGCTTGGGCCAGCAGAGGGCGCGCTGCGAGCCAGCCAGAGTCCAGCAGCCGGGGAGAAATTCCTTCTACAAGTCAGTTTGCTTCTTACAGTAGAATAAATTTTAATACCTGTCACGGTATTCTGCTAACAGTGTTCATCTAGGTTTACTAAACATTATTTCAGTTACTTGTTCTCCCAAAAGGGAACCATTATCCCAGACGAGTATTAAAAACAAGACTTCATTTATAGTATGAGCTGTTGTGACAGTTCCTTTCCTGTTTTACACACTCAGCTGGGTTAAGAATACTTCTGTACTACATTTCTTATTCTTTAGATTGACCTGATCAGACTCAGTTATTAAACTTAAAAAAAACAAAACTGCAAGGTCCCAAGTATTCATACTTTACTGCAATTACTTCCAACTCCTCGAGCACTTAGTTTCCTTACTTTTACATCTGTTGTGTGAGATTCCTATACTTTCTCAAATCCCAAGGGAAATCATGAGATACCTTATAAAGCAAGCATTTGTCCAGACCTTGGGGAGACTGCTTAGTTCACCAGCAGGTTAGTTCACCACTTCATCTTCCTACTATCTTAAATTCCTGTCAGTTTTCCCCATCTGTCACTTGAAAGATATCAGGCTGCAGACATAACACAACACAACTACTTTGTTTTTCTTATTACAACATTTAACTGGAACATAACAAAGATAAAGTAAAATTTAATTTTATCTAGAGGTCCACACCTAACTGTCATATGAGCTTTGCAAATTTGGTAAAGTATATGGAGGCTGTGGACAATATGCAGCTTGAAACACTTCACTGATTCAAAACCACATATACGCTACGTAGTTTTCTGGAATACAGTGAAAAGCTTGACCCCAGATCTGACATGCACTTGAAGATTCAATAATCACTTCAAACAACCTCAAATATTTTATTTCAGCTTTTGAACCCTAACACTGAAAAACTTAATTTTTCACTCAGTTCTATCTTCCTTTCACTCTGCCAACAGTTTATAAAAGCTGTCAGTGAAGAAAGAGACCACCACCAATTACTAGAAAACACTGAACTTCTCAGTAGTCTGATACAATCTATAGCAACAGAGACTACTAATCTTTTTCTGAAGTTAATTTCCACCCCCAACCCCAGTAACATAGGTTGTGTTGAAACACCTGGCAGAGACCCAAAACTCTGTCAACATATTCCACGAGGCTTTAAAATCTGGTGACTTCTCCAAGAGAACATGCAGCCACATGAAGTGGCGCACATAAAAGAGCAACCAAACATGCCTGTTTCCTAGAAAAGGAAGACTAAACACTTCCTTTTGTAATTCCGTTTACAGTATGAGATGCTGCAATAGACAGGCATGTTATGAAATTATTAGAAACCAACTTGATCATAGAGAGACTGGAACCAAATACAGGAATGTTAGTTGAACTTCTACCCTTAAAATACCAGGAATTTCAAGATAAAGCTCAGAGGCAGACTAAGTTGACTGCAGGACCAACATTTTCAGCTAAGATGATGGCTGCGCTGAGGTCGGATCACTGACCCTGCTATGAACGTTAAACAGAGAGCAAGACAGTTGCTTCATGAAGGAGTTAACATACGTAAGGACAATTAAGCAAGATCCAAGACTGTACAGTTGAAGGTGTCAAAGAGGTAACCGGAAGTTAGAGGGGACAATAGCCATTATATGGAAAACAGACCATGTTCCTGCAGGAGGCATGCTTTGGAAAGGATTGTAAGGCTGAAATGGTAGCAGAGACACCATGATTAGTTAATAGGTCACTGCAATCATAAAGGTTCAAACGTAAAATGAAGTACTTGAGGCAATTTGATTTGATAGAGACTTATTAAGTAACTGGGATTCTGTTAAGACAAAGATTGAGAAATCTGAGAAGGGAACATGAAAATACTCCCTCTACAAAATGGAAAAAGTAACTACTACAGTAGAAACAAATATGACCTGGAACCACCTGAATATTTTTTTTCCAAGAACTGGAACAGATTTTGTCCCCATTCATATTTTTCTAATATGCCTCTCATCCCGTCTCCTTCATTTTGTTTTTAATTACAGCAGTTCAGTCTTCATTTCTCTAACTCTTTATTTAAAGGTGAAAAAAATCTCTTAGCCTGTAAGTTGAAGAAAGCCTTTCTTCTTGATACAAGAATATAGGTGTGGGTTGGGTGAAGCAGAATGTTACGCTCTTCAGTCTAAAGAACAGTTCTTTTCTTGAATCATTTATTCTTCACACCTGAAATAGCTGGGAATACACTTGAGGGCCTGGCTGCAGATAGTAACCATGACAGGTATACCAAAACCAGAAGTGAGAACAACATTAAACATTAAGTAAAATCTACTGATACAGTAGCTCTTAATATTTTAATTATAAACCTCAGTTTCAGTATAAACAAACTTTCTGCAAAAAGCACAGTAAAAACGGTTCAGAAAAATTTCAATTTCAAGGCATGAAAATAATCACGCTAAGCCCTGCAGTACCACCCAGGGGCCTGGGCTACGGCTTTCTTTGAACACTTAGGGCAAAGGAGACTTGACGAGGTTGGAGGCATGGCAGATCTCAGTTTGATACAGCTTGAGAGATTTTTCCCAAGGCCGAAGTCTAAAAATGGCAAAGAGTGTTGTTTGGTTTTTTTCAGCATACCTCTTTCTCCACCTTGTCTATTAGACCTCAGAGTATTTAGTGGTCTTCTGTAACCTCAATGTCTACTGCAGTGTCTCACGTAATGCAAATATATTACCTGCCTATAAACTTTTAATTTTTTATGCATTTTCATTTCAGATGGTCAGAAGAGAATTTTAATGCTAATATTTAAACCCAAGAAAAACTAAATGTATTAATGCTGTAATCAAATAACACACCCATGAAAGAGATTAAATGCCATGTTGACATCAACAAAGAAAACCTATGAGAGTACATAAAATAACCAGATTGCTCAATTTACTGACATCTTAATAGCAAACACTTCTCCTAGGATACTACAGTTCCTTAGATGCTTTACTGTAATCTATGCTTACATTATACTCACACATCAAGTATAATTTATCATTCTTTTGTTTTTATATTTAATTTTAAAACAGCTGCTCCTTCTTTTAAATTAATGCAGACATAAGGAAACATTTGTTCTTCCTAAATGCAAATCCTGAGGAGATTTCTCAAATTGATTTAGTTACCTGACCACATCACACATCAGGAATATTACTTATTTTACTGAAGGCAAGCAAATTAAGAGGTAATACTTATTTTTGAAACAATCATTATATTCAGAACTGTCTCAATAGTTTTACAATACACTATCTCTGAAAGACAAAATATAATACCAGTATTAATATCATAGAATCACAGAATGGCTTGGGCTGGAAGGGACCTTAAAGATCATCTAGTTCCACCCCCCTGCCGTGGGCAGGGACACCTTCCACTAGACCAGGTTGCTCCAAGCCTCATCCAGCCTGGCCTTGGACACTTCCAGGGATGGGGCATCCACAGCTTCTCTGGGCAACCTGTCCCAGTGCCTCACCACCCTCTTCGGGAAGAACTTCTTCCTGATATCTAATCTAACCCCCCCCACTTTCAATTGAAACCTGTTACCCCTTGTCCTGTCACTACAGGCCCTTGTAAAAAGGCCCCCCCCAGCTTCCTTGTAGCCCCCTCAGGCACTGGAAGGTGCTATAAGGTCTCCCCGGACCCTCCTCTTCTCCAGGCTGAACAAGCCCAACTCGCCCAGCCTGTCCCCATGGCAGAGGGGCTCCAGCCCTCAGAGCATCTTTGTGGCCTCCTCTGGACTCGCTCCAACCCATCTATATCCTTCTGATGTTGAGGGCTGCACAGCTGGACGCAGCACTCCAGGTGGGGTCTCATGAGAGCAGAGTAGAGGGGCAGAATCACCTCCCTCGACCTGCTGACCACATTTCTGATACAGCCCTGGATACGGCTGGCTTTCTAGCCTGCCAGCGTATAGTGCCAAGTCACTTCAGATCAATGTATTTGTCAGGGGAAGATATTTTCCTTTTTCTTTTTTTTACTTTGCTCGGTAGTAGACTTACAGTAGAAGTGTTGTAATCTCAGTATTGTTATCTCTTAAAAATAACAACCCACAGTGTCCTTATACATAATAATGTTTTACATGTCACAGCACAAAAAGCAGAGAACAAATTAGCACAGAGAAGAAATTTATCTTGCTGAACAGAACTGCACGTATCTCATCACAGTAGTGAGATGTAATGAACAACTAGGGCAAGGCAATAGTTTATGCCTGTGAACTCTGAAACAGTTTTAAAAGGTGCACATAGCAGCAAGCATCGTGTACTTACAGTGCGTGACTCCAGCCAGGGTCTGATAGAAGGTAGGGGTATCACTATCATCAGTGAGTGTCACGTACACACCTCCAGACAGCAGCCAACGGGAAAACGTGAAAGCATCTTTGTTGTGCAACAGCCAAACCCTGAACTTGTCATAGTTTACCTTTTCACTCTGTAAGAAAAGTAAGAAAATGTGAGCTGTTTTTCTCTGCTTTCTCAGTACCAGTAAACAGGAACCATCCTGCTGCATGAACAAGAATTGGGACAATCTCCTACAAAAATAAGTACTGAAATAATTTTTGCCTTTGAAGCCACGACTGGTTTTCCATTTCATTTTGAAATACAGCAGTGGGAGAGAAATTAGACTCCTCAGCCCTCTCTGCATTTCAACCACCTACTCAATGCGGTCTTTGGAAAGTCATTTTCTCTGAACCTCAGGTTAAAGGGATCAGAAGGAAAATGGTTAATTACAGCTCAAAATAACAGAGGTTATTTTTATGAATTTAAATTTATTACGCTAGATAAAAGCTCTCACCAAATAACAGGTGCTGTAGAATCCTAAACAGTCTACTGTATATACTAACATTTAACATAGAAAAATTAGATTTATGAGTAACTAATAGGATAATTAATCACCACAGTAGCCTGTCAATTTTTTGCCTCTACTGACCAAAACCCGCTTCGGAGCACACAGGTAAGAAAGGCATTCACAGTATCTCCTAACTCAGCCTCTCTTGCTGGATGGCTCATGGAACTGCCTGTTCAGAACTACATAAGAACTATAGATTCACAGTTTAAATCCTGGAGAGGCTGTTTAAACCATTTAGTTGAATGATTTCCAAGCTGTGGCCATGAAACCATAGGGATCAGCAACCTAATTTCTACAGGACCTACAAAACTCACTAAAAAGCAAACCTATTATCAGTAGATGAACTCATTAGATGGAGATCCTAATCTCCATGGGAAATAAACCAGGGTCTGCAAAGTGAAAGAGGTTTCAAGTCATTGATTATTTAAACTTCACTAATATCACAGACCATTAAACTTTGCTGAATTACAGCTCTACAGAATCCAACAATCTGCATTTGGCCACAGACTATCTGCAGCTGTCAACTGCAGAAAATTGAAAATCCACTGCTTCCTTTGCCAGGTTGCTTAAATGGTTAATCACATTCACTGCTAAAACATTTGCTTCATACTCCAACTGTAACAGATTATTTCAGGTTCCAGATACTCATTCTTTTTATGCCTTTTTTTTCCCTAGGTTAAAGTGTGTTATATTTTTCTTCAATAAATACATGCAGAAATACCACAATACTTACAAAAGCTACTGTCGTTGGCTTCCACATGGTTATAATTCAAGGATGTCAAGATGCTACATTGCTATTCCATCACCAGTTTAATCTGTATATATCCTCACTACTGACTGACAGCATGGTCCTAACCTTCCTCTTAAAAACAGTTTCTGATCCTTCATCCCTTCTCTTTTGTGACTTCAATCACACCAGTGCAGTCACATGGCAAAACATACCTAGCTGAAAAATAACCTACAGGATTAGAAACTACAGAAAAAGGGCTTCCTTCTCAGCCAGATCATTTCCCAATCCAGTTCATCAAGGCATCACATAAATACCTGAGCCAGCACAAAGGTAGGAGAATGAATGACAGTCAGGAAAAGGGTAACTCAACAACATGGGCTTTACAGGATTTAATCCATTATGGAACCACTTCCTTAAGCAAAAAAACCACCTCTACTGACAAATCAGCAGAGAAGAAAAAAGCAGCCCACAAGTTTTTTTTTTCATTTTTTCTTTAACCATTTGGATCAGAAACAAGATCATTTTCATACTACCTGTTCCACTCTACTTCTCTTTTAGTTTTTGCACTGCTTTCTGTAAATGTAGCAAGAGCTGTGTCACGTTGCACTAAGACTGCATTGCTCCAACTGATTAGAGGAAAGACAAGGAAGAAGAGGGACAGGAAAACTTCTGACAGGGGAAAAAAGCATGTAGAGCAGGTAATGTTTACAGCTGAGCCACGCTGAAACTAGAGCAACTACAGCAATACAGATATCACTGAATTTGTTTCCTGTATTTCAGAAACAAGAGTGAGGAAAACTCAGGTGCACATGCAGTAATTCTGAAGAACAGAAGTACCCGTAAACACCATCCTTGGAAACATAAACTCATCCGCCATACGGCAGGAAGGAAGGTCCATAGCAGGGACACTAAACTTTCTCACTCTCCAGCAATGACCCAGTATGATGAATAGGCCAGTAAATCCTGCTGAGTGGGTTATTACACTATTTTCATTTTAAAAGAAAGATCAATATAAAGCATTTTCTTGAACGGGAAAATGGTACGAAGCCAGGCTGATATTCTTTTCCTGCAAGTCTTCATAAAGTATTTCTGGATTTCTTAGACTGTGTGCAATTAACTTTTAGGGTATAATTCATCACACCACGTTGATGGGAAATTATAAATAGGAAATACTGAAGTGGGTCAGCTCCAGAAACTAGACGGCAGAATACATACGACTTATGATTCCAGCCAAGAATCAAGAACGTAATCGTTGCCTGCAACACATGATCCCACCGCCAGATTAAATGAGTCTGCCTCAGCCAATGCCCACAGCCAAAGTTACCTTCAGTACAGCACAAGAAAATTTAAGGTAATTAAGTAATCTGATATCCACAAATCCAGCTCCTAGTCAATCAGTTTTGCAGTGGAATGTATAATGATGATTAGATTTTCCTGATCTATAGTGCTCTGATAACAAATGAAGCGACCAAAGCACAAAAACTTGTTAATTCATCAGGATCACTAGTTCCAAAGAAGTGTCTGTGAATATTTAAAAGTAACAATAGCCTGTATTAGAGAAGGACTTCAGCAACCTTCACAAAGATTACATCTCTCAAACAACCTAAAGCATAAACAAGTGTTGTAGCTCCTGGCAGGCACAGTGAGACAAAAGTAATGCTATAAAACTATTATTTTTAAGCAACCGCTTCTGGCAAGCATTTTTAAATCCAGGATGCAGATTTTCTTTCCCCTCTCAGAACTCTGTTCTAGAGTTCTTCCCATATTGCAATAAAATGTCCATATTAATGAAGAAATTTCCACTAGCCATATTAGTATTTAAACTTACTTGATACCTTGATTACCCTTCAGAAATGATATCTTCCAAACTAGCACAGTAAGTAAAGCAGCACAGAGAATGCCTGCATTTACTTACCACACTGCTATTCACATCAATACAAATTACATGTAATATTACAACATAAAAAAAACCAATGAGCTTTTACTCAATTTAAACAAGCTCAATTTGTTCCCATACATGCATGAGCATGTACATGCCAGAGAAAAACAAACTACGCAACGTAATTTTCACTTTGTAAATGCAATAGGATAAAACCTGTAGGAATTACCTCGGAGAAACATTTCTTGAGTGACTCTGGGACTTTCCCATCAACCACATGTAGCATCTTCTCCACCATACATGTATGAGCATGTACATGCCAGCATGTACACCCACCAAACTACGCAACGTAATTTTCACTTTGTAAATGCAATAGGATAAAACCTGTAGGAAATACCTCGGAGAAACATTTCTTGAGTGACTCTGGGACTTTCCCATCAACCACATGTAGCATCTTCTCCATCTCCTCACGGACAATGTAACTCCCAGATTCATTAGAAAAGAGACTGAAAATGTCTGAGGAAGTAGACACATGTTTAAGCAAGTATGGTAGTTACAACTTTCAAATATTAAGGTTCCAACTGGCTGAGAATGCCAAAGGCTGTGCAACAACTGAAGGGCTAAAACCTTAGGTTAATTCAACTTCAATATATCTCCACAAGGCTGAGGTCTAGAAGTGCCTCCTTTTTCTTTTACCATTGTCCACTAATCAAAAGGCAAAGAAATACTGTCAAGTCAGATTAACAAGACAAAACAACAGACATCAGTAGGCAGATGCTTTCATTTGTTTTGAAAAACACCAATGCCATCCTCCTCCTTCTGCCCACATACAGTGATCAACAGTCTTCCCATATGATCCTAACGTTTACATTCATTATGACTTACGACATATTTCATTTTGGTGAGTACAGAAAAGAAAAATGAATTGAATTTCAAAATGTACAGCTAAAAATGTCTAAAAAATACTATCTTTATTGGCAAATGTATGCCCTGGTTACAGGGACTTGGTATACCACAATTTATGTCAGCTTTACAGAAGCGTGTTTTACACTCACTGTCCACTACCCTGGTGCTACTGTTATGTTACTTACATTTTGCTTTCTCTTCCTCTCTGCCTCTTGTAAGCAGAACTAATCCAACTATCAAGTTATTGAAGTGCAGCCCTTTGGATATTCCTCCAAATGAACAGTAGATAACCTAGAAGAATAAAAAACAGAGATAACAGAAAAGTTAACAGGGAGAACAGGAATATGAGAACTAAAAGCAGCAACTTATACTGAGGCACCATCTCATGTGGTTTTCAGGCTAGTCACCTCATGCACTTAAACACACCACTAATATTAATTGTTAAACTTTGTGGCTGTTCCAGTACTTATAAAATAGTCTTTCCAGGGTCTTTTATTTAGTGAAATGCAGGTATTTTTCATGAACAGCAATATTAAAAAAAGAGAAACCTCCAGTGAGGGCAGCTTCTTGCTTGCTCATTGGTGCTATTTCCCCAGACTTCTTCAAAGTAAAGAGGTTGAAATCTCCTCCAGACTAGGCTTCGATAGTCTCGAAGCCATCAAGAGGTTGGTGGCGCAGCAAGTGTCATTGTCCCAATCACAGGAGATGCACTTCAGTAAGCCACCAAAAACTACTGCTTTGAAAAGATGCAACACACAAAATCCTTCCATCAACTACTTAACTGTCTTCACGCTGCAGCTGTTTCTAGAATGACTGTTCCAGTTTAGTACCCTGCTCTAACAATAGTACTTAAATCTTTCTTCCAATAGAAAGCACTAGAAATCAAGACTTCTATTCAGAAGTTACAAACCCAGGGAGTGGCCACCAGGACAATGCACTCAAGGAAGGGCTGAAGCATTTACCTTTCACATGGAAAGTCTGTACGCTGCCGCTTAGCTTCACTCAACAGCACCTTAACAGTGATTCAACACTGATACATGAGATATGAAGGAAGTCATTTTAGGACAAACAGCAACTACTTTAGGAAACAAGAATTACCAACTCACTTATTGCAATATATTACTTCACTTTAACTCCAATACTACAGAACACAAATGAAAATATGTATTCTATACAGCTCCTCAAACCTGGACTCCTGTAATCCCAAATCCATTCCTCCAGGTGCCAATACTTTATCAGTATCACAACACAGAAATCTGCATTAGGTATTACAATTTAAAGCGGTTAAAATTTATAAATTATTCTTACATAGAAGAATTATTTCACTGTCTGTGTCTTTTAATTCGATTCTCTTACAGGTATCATCACACTGAGTATCTAACCATAAAGTATTAAGTCTAGCTGATGGGGACCTATTACCGTGAAAGGCCAGAACAAAGTGATTTGTCACTGATCACGGTCTGGATAGCAGACTTACTTGCTAAACTTGTTTTTCAAATGTAACTTTTTCAGACAGAAAGATAAAGGAACAGAGATCAACTTCTATTTGGAAAGTGTTGTGCCCATTTTAAATAGTATTTTCTTTGCCTGCTTTTAAATTACATTATAAATAAACAATATTAAAACCAGAATGTGCACATGCAGTTATGTGCTGCTTTTTCATTTTTCTCCAGTAAAGCCTGGAGTATATTCTTTATGTAAGAATTTTGCTGAACGGCAATAGCAGACTTCACAGTTCAGCAGAAGTACTGTGGACAGATTCACTATTTTGATGACCCACAAAGCTGAGTGAATAATTAATAAACCCTGGGATGAAACCCACAGATCTTCACTGCAACACCTGTATCCCTTTCTCCTGCCTTTCGTTTGTTTTTAAACATATGAGCTGCAACCAGACACAGTTCTAAATAGCTAAAGCATCATTACCTTTTTTTTTACCTCCTAAACTCTGCTTTGTTTGGGGTTTTTTTGGTTGGTTTTGGGTTTTTTCCCCATTTGAAACTACAAATGCTTGGATAATTAATTGTAGCCTTTTTGCAAGCCCACCAAAGAGGCTATGACACCTCGGGGCCCACAGACAAAAACCCACCAAAAATAAATGAAAAAGCTTTTAATTTTTTTAAAACTCCCACCATAGCCATTAGGAAACATTTACACCGGCAGCTGATCAGAAAACAACAGTGAGAGATGGTATGCACAACTGCAGCGACACTCATCTTCTAGACATATGCCACTAACAGTATCTGAAGTGGGTGACCTCCTGTGAACCTACCCAACAAGTTAAAATCGCTACAGCAGTGTACAAATTCTCGTATTTGTACTTCAGTTTTGAAGTACAGAAGTTGTTACAGCACAAAATCTCCCACTGAACAAGGACCCCTCACAACGAGCAGAATTAGGATCATAAACCAACTGGATACATCCAGCCAACACTCTAGTAGAATATATTTATCTTTGAATAAAACACAGCAATAATTCTGAACCAAATTAAAAAAAAAAAAAGAAACTACAGGTACGATTAGAATTTTGCCTGTCTCTTCGCAGACACATTCTGCCTACAGTTAACTATTTTTTTAAGTACTTTCCATCTTCTGCCTCTCTTAACACTGTACTTTCACTGTTGATTTAAACCAGTGCTAGCTGTTCCCCTGCCCGCAACAACTCATTCCCACCCACACTCCACTTCCAACACCCATGCCAAAACAAGCATTCATGGAGCAGAACAATGAAAGAAATCAGGGAACCAACTTGGGTTTGAATTAACCATTTTTGTTATCAGGTTTCACTAATCCAGCTCAAAGTGGGTGGCCTCAGGGTGAAAATAAGTGGCCAGAATTAAGCTGACTGTGAAACTGGTACAATAACTACATAAATGACATTTCAGGAATTAGAAGAGAACTCCTATACATTACAGGGAATGTCCTACATGGTGATGGCAATCAAGTGCAGCCTGTTACCAGCTGTGCCCTTCACAGGAGTCACACATTACATGAAGCATAACAAGGAGGAACCTAGTTCTCAACAGGCTGAAATCCCTTTGCAAAATGCGAGTGCCAAGACCCCAGAATGAGTGAAAAAAGTCACCACCTCACTGATGCAGGTCTATACGCCAGGAAATTGTTTACCAAACTGACAGCCATCAATATTTGTTACTCTAACTGTGAGCTAAGAAATCCGTCAAGTATTTCAAAAGAATCTGCACCTTTTACACTGATAAAGCGAAATGTAATGAAATTCATTGCCAAAATGTTTATTTGCCTTAAGACAAAGAGCTGAACACTGGAAACAGACATGAGAGAAAATAAAACCTTCCTGCACTGTTAACAAGAACAGCTTTTGAGGTCATCTGCTGACCACTATTTGTTTTTAACAAAAGAAAATCTAGCTTTCTTAGGAGTTTAACCACATATTAGTAATAAACTACTTGTAAACCAAAGTGACAGTAATCTGACACTTCCCAGAGACAGTTCTCAGTAAAGATGGAAACAACCTGACAGCAGTTAGAGGAAACCTCTGTAAACAGGTGCCGTTAAGATCACTCTGAGACTTTGAGCCTGTAGTTTTTCCTATTAAAACAAAAAAAAAAAAGGCAGGAAAATTCCCAAAGACTATATTATATGCCTACTGACTTCCACATCGGGAGAGCCTGGCATATGTCTCCTTTGTGTCTCTCAAAGATAATGGTGTGGGGCTCAAAAATGAGCTTCAGAAACATCTAACGAGTAATTTCAGACATATATGTGTTTCCTCAACCTAAATGAGCTGGGATTCTACAAGAGGTTCACCAGGTTAAGTAGAACAAGAAGTTACTGGAACAAAAAACCCTCTCTCTATCCACCCTTTCCCCTCCAGCAACAGCAATCACAGTGCTGCAGCCAGAATCCTCAAGCATGAGGAAAGGGTGGAAGAGAGCTGAACATCAATGAGTCACTGCTCTTACTATCTCAGGTGTGGTTTCCACCTCAAGTAAAAATTAAGCCAGGACTGGGAGTGACCAAACAAAACCAGCCATGGGCCTGTCAAGGGCACCAGAGAGATCTGGCTAAGCCACACAGCACTGTAGCAGCAAAAAGAAGAAAAGGAAATACCTAACACTGACTAACTACGTTAGATTTACTACTGCAACTGCCCTGCATGCTTTGAGTGTAACAAACAAGTGTGGAAAATCTACCACTGTTGCCTTTCCAGCAGAACTCATCCGCAGAGTGTGTTCTAGGCAACCTCCAAAGTCATACTGGGCAAGAAGGTAGTAAAAAATGCTAAGTTTTTGTTCGGCTCTCTACTATCTCCACACATACTGCTGAAGCAGACAAGATTCCCTCAAGACACTTAACTCAGTCCTGAGCGTTCCCTGCGGTAAATCCCCTCCTTGTCCACCCATCAAGCTATCACTCTCACTGCTATCCACTCAAGGTTATTAGATGTCTGAAGGCAAGTCACTGTAAATGAGGCTGATAGAGAAGGATCTCATTCTATGGAAAACGTTATGTAGAACCTGCAGTTTCATTCCAGTGTAAGACAGAGCACTACCCAAATACATTAAGTTCCCATAGGGTGCTCAGATCAGCCTCTTCTGTTACTAAAGTTTAACCCATTTACTTGAATGCTTGAAGGGCTAAATTATTAAAACGAAATTTGTGCTCTATTTGGACACAATGACTGGATATGCTTCATGGACAATCTCATGGTAAAGATGTGAATTCCACACTTTCTGCTTCTAATCATTCTGATTTCACAAGATGCCTTCAAGGCTACGCTGCATATGTAAGCAATTTACCTTTGTATTACAGTGGAATCATTACCTTTTTCTTAAATATGCTGCTAGCTCTGCTGAACACTGCAGTTTAAGTCTTAATAGAACTATTTTGATGAGGAAAAAAACAATCATGAAGAGCACAAAAAAAAGAGAGTTCTTATATTTCAGATTAATAGGACTTCCAAGACAAAACATATATATGAATAAACAATAGAGAAATCACTGGTTTTCTTTCACAAATTTTAATAAAATATTATCTTTTCTTTATTCTTCTCCATCATTCAAATTTAACCTTTCTGTGCTTTTAGACTTTTTAAGAACAGCCATTTTATAACTTACCTCGAATAAAGCTGTCTCCTCTCCTCACCCACCTGAAAGCGTATTTCTAATTCATACCCATTTCTCAGTTTTCCCCTCACTTCTGCTGAACTTTGTACATCTCACTTTTATGGATTATTTCAACATCATATGTTGACCGTTCATGATATAAACACAGAAAGGAATTCTATGGATAATGCCCAATGTATTACTATTGAATGCATAATTACAACCATCAGCAGCTGGCATTACTTTGAGTTTAGCTGCTTAATCCTTCTTTTTGGGAAGAGTTTGTAAGTACTGAATAGTTACAACAATACGTAACAGAGATTAGTTTCCATTTCTAAGGAAGAAGCTTCACAATTTTTTACATTAATATGTTATTTGGAAAACTTCTAGTAAGATGCACCACCACAACACAATGCAATTTAAGTAAAACCATTATAGTTTTACCTAAAATAACCACACACACAGAGTGTCATAACAATTTACATTTCAAAAATGTAAAATTTAGTATAATTATATGGTACTTAAGTCTTTTTTTTCCCCCATAAAATTTAGGTCTGACATGTTATGTTTCATGGATAACTGAATAGTGTAACAATAAGGTTCCTTGCCTCTAAAAAGAAGTCTCAGTCTATACAAACAGTTCCCTTCAGGTCCAAATCCCTGGCCCTGTGCCCACACGCTCTAGGAAGCCTGCTGGAAGAGTAGGAAAGGATGCTCAAGGCATTCTTTTGGCTCCTTCCTCTAGAGTATAAAACGTCCTGGATTCTCTCCTGGTTTTATCCTTATGACCCTTCTTCCCTCTCAGTCCTTGAGAAGTCTGTGTTCTTTTGGCACACTCTCAAGATGCACTTCATGTCTCTGTTAGCACCATCCCTCTCCCCTCTGCATTACTTAGACTGCAGCTTGTTAATCAATTAGTCACATTTGGAGAAAAAGACGCACTGACACTTAACTCCTTACTAAGTATCACAGAATGCTGCCTAGAAACCGTCTCGCAGACATAGTGTATGTAGGGCTATAGAAAAGGTGTAGTCTAACAAGTCCTTGAAATGACTGCATGGGGTGAAGTTAAGAGGTGCCTTCTCAATATTGTTATCCTCCTCAGTCTAAAATACAAAGCAACTAAAAATGTTTTCTTGAAATATTATCAGCATTCTGTCCTTCCATCTCCCCTGAACAATACCTTTTCTATCAAGGTGCCCACAACTGCCTGCCTTCAGTAACTGCATTATTTCCTTACAGCTAAAATCAAATGCTGTCTCCATACATCTCACCATCTGACCAGCTTTCTTGCAGTCAAAACAACACAGACACACACAATAAAATGAAATTAAAGGATGTGCTAGGATGTGGAATCTTCAGTTCCATTTTTCCAAGAGACCCTTTCAGAACATTACTGTCCTGAACATTTAAAAAATGTCTTTTGTGTGCAAGAATCATGCAAATTTTTTGACCAACGTTCCAGTGGCTTCAGTTGCATGTTTTATGTCCCTGCTGTAAAACTCTGTGGTTTTTATCTAATGAATTCCTGAAGGCCTGTCACTAGGCAGATATAAAAAACTATTACCCAAAACATGTAGAGAAGACAGCCCAGCAATGTGAGGCTCAAGGTGATCAATTTTAATGATTGAAAAGCTGAAAACTCAGAACAAGGCTTTAAGCTGCCTAAGGACTGCCTGCCTTTCCACAGCCTGAAGCCAAAAATTACAAAGCATCCCTTTACAGTATGAGCAGAATCAAATCTAAATTTTGTCCAAATTTACAGTATTCAAGCTCACAGATCTGACTACTGCATTGTCTGAATATAAATGCTAGAAGTACACAGTAATTTGTAGTAGAATTTTGAGATGTCGATGTGCCAGTGTTGATGAGATGACATCAAAAAGCAATTACGATTCTTCCATTAATTTTATTTCACTAACTGGAAGCCAAGAACTGCGGTATAACCTTAATGGGTGTTAAATGAGAGACTCATCATCAAAACTGTCTTTTTAGGGCAGAATTTAAAAAAAAAAAAAAAAAAGAAGGAGGTAGCCAGTAGACATTTTGAAAACACGGAGTCTCCATATGTGTCAAAAAGCATCGTTCTTTCATATCAGTAATTTATCCCTTTTGCGCCAGTATTAAGGATTAAAAAAGTACAAGTTAACTCATAACATAAAATTCTCAACATTTTATATTATTTCAAAAAGTCACATACCGCACAGGACCATGTTTTGTTTAATCTTATGGGCTACTAACAGTCAAAGCATCCAGACAACATAAACATAAATTATTACTGAGACATGCTTGAAGCTATGGGCAAATCATACACTTTCTTTTAATCTGAGAGTGATAACACACATTGCAATTTTTCCTGTTAAGCGCTGGAATACCCACATTAAACTTAACTATATTACTGAAGTAAATACTATCACCATCTTTGTCAACACTTAGCAAAAACAGAAAAAAAGAATGGAGAAAAGATTTAGCTTAGGAAAAAAAGGAACTCTACCAGAGTGTTAAACCTTTTGCAATACACACTTGACTACTCACATTATCTAACTAAAGCTGGAAGACTTGTACACTGCCTGTGAGGTCAATAACACTGAAGATACCAGAAATAGAAGCTGTGACTTAAAATGACATGGAGCAAGATATCATTTGAAAGGTCTGGCTAATCTTTTTCTTTTCTACCAACAATATTCTGATTTCTGTCTCAAGACAGGGGCAACACCATGAAAGAAAGTATCTTTTTAACATGCACGTGTGCAGGACAGTATTAGCATTTTTTTAGATACAGACACATACAATATTTTTATCTGTGTATCATATGTTGATTCTGGCTATTTTTCAGTTAATTTATAAATTTATTATACATAAAATTATTTTATGAGCTTGTAAAGATTAATCTGCATTTAAAAACCAAAGTAAAAGCCTATCTCAAAGAAACCAACAGCAAGTGCATCTCCAGAGTAAATAAAATCTTCTGTTATAATGGCTACGTACAGTGTTCAAACTTCCCAACTTTTTATTTCCCCAAATCTACATCTGGATATTCAGGTTTACCTCCAAGTCATCTACCACCAATTACTTGGAATCAGTAGCTCAGTCAAGCACACATCAGCGACAACCCATGACCCAAGTCTGGAACATTGTCTTCAGAGAACATACATTGTGATGTTGTATGAAAAGTGGAAAGAAATTACGTTAGGTCATAGAATCATAGGATCATAGAATGGTTAGGATTGGAAGGGACCTTAAAGATCATCTAGTTCCAACCCCCCTGCCATGGGCAGGGACACCTTGCACTAGACCAGGTTGCTCAAAGCCACATCCAGCCTGGCCTTGAAGACATCCAGGGATGGGGCATGGATGTCTTCAAGGTCATGTACCAGGTCGTGTATCTGTTATGGCGTATTTGTGTGTGTGCATCTATAGGTGTACATTATCAACCCCATGTGCCTCCCCAGAAAAAAAGCAAGTTCATAGATTACCTCAGCAACTTTTGGAGGGACTCCATCACCAAGAACTTCCCTGATGAAGCACTGTTGCGTCATATAATACGAGAGTCCACAAGTTCTCTTGAAAGCATCTTTCAGTCGCTTTAGCTCTATGTCTGTAACTGTTGAGAGAGAAGAGAGGAGGAAAAAAAAGATTTGGTCAATGAAAATGTCATAGAAATGTAATACCTTAGGGATTCTCAAAATACATACACCTTACATTTACCTTTACAGTAAAAAGATAGGAAGATCTTACATGTGTGATTTCACCTACATAGTAGAAAAGTTTGACCACTAGAAAATGAGATATAATAATCTTCCCCAAAAAAGTGAAGTAGACCTAAAGACAACATCAATGATTACAGCAGTTCACCGCCTAAGTCTTCTGACTACAGTAGTGTATTCTGATTTGTTCTAAATTAAGCACCATTACTGCCATACAGAAGAAAAATTATCTAGCTTTATGATCAATTTTACATTGCATGTAAGCCAGAGAAATGATCTGTAACCAACAGTGGTGAATATCAAGCGCAGCTCCAGCAGCATACTTCAAGAAGTTTCATCTAGCAACCAGCCTATATTCTATATTGAAAAGAATATTTAATCATCACTTACATGCTCATAAGACAGTACAGTGAAGGATACATTTAAGAGGAATACTACAGTTAAACTTTGGACTGAATGTAATTCTTCACCTAAAACTTCCTTGCACAGTCAAAATCCAACTGCCAGGTAAAACCTGTTCAAACCTGTCATCAGTCCTTTCCACATGAACATCCTGTTTACACTTGCACGTGAGCTTCCTGAAAAGCAGTCCCTGCCTTCAGATTTTACAAGCATAAAGCAACTTTCTAACAAAGTGTTTAAGTAGTGACGTATCTCACTGAACAAAACAAGTCCTTTGTCAAAAATCAAGTTGCTGAGAATAACACACCACGACCTGAATCAATATGTTACCATGTAGAGCAGAAAAAAACTATTCAGCATCTAGAAGCCCAAAGAAATGATGCTGCACATGATAATTATTTCAACTGTATTTATAGTAAGGCATTTTCCTTCCCCGATATAACGAGCCAGACAGAAACAACACTGACATGGCCAAAGGCATGTCAAGCTTTTTGTCAGACAAAATAAAACAGAACACTTGAGAGCTTAATCCAGCACTCTTAAAACTTCTACATTTCAATTAATTCATTCATCATAAGAAAAAAAACATTCCATAAGAGTAAATCACATTGAAACATTCCTCCCTGATTTTAATTCTAGTCAGCATCAAAACGGACTAGTGACTTCATTTAACAGTTGTGTGTAAAAACAGAAATTGGGTCATGTTTCTTTTCAAATTTTATTATAGATTCCGGGAACTTTTGACCAGAAAAAAATTCAAAGTACCTAAGAAGTAAACCAAAAGTGTGGCCAACGCAGCACTGGTGCTATCATTTAACATACATTTGGCAAAAGACATATTCAAGTTATCATCATCTTCTATCTTGTTTTAATAAACAAGCATTACTTCAGTTATATGGCACAGGAATATTGGTGTAATACCGTTACCTGGCTTATATGGTGTTTAAATTTCACTATTTCATACTAACATCTGTCTATAGACTCAATTTCTTCCTTTGTGTTTTTATATGTGATGCTTTAAGGAATGCTCAAACACTGTTAGGCACACCAGCTAAAGTTTTCTTCCACGATTTTCCCTAGATATCTGAAAACAGACGCGGAGATATGGTATTTACAACCTAAAGCAACATTCTCTACACTCCCCACCTCTTGTGAATCACAGAAACAGGAAGCAAAATAAAGATGCTGCAAAGAAACCCACCCTCACGCCACAGCTTTGCCTCCAAACGTGTGCCAGTGCTTCTCGTCAGAGGGATGCTTCACCTCCTCTCCTCCACACCTCCTATGCACAACCTAACTACACCAAATTTCCAGCCAAAACAACTCCCCACCACATGTTTAATGAGTAAAAGCTTGGAGTTGCTAAGGGGACATAAAAAGGGACGCTACTAGCTTCACTATTTTGGCAAGGTAAAGCAAACAACCTAGATCCTGGACAAAATCTAGCAATCGTTCTTTGATGAAAATATTCTCTTTTTTTTTTTTTTATATGGAGAAGCACACACACTCTTTTAATAAAAACAGACTCTGCATTATGGAGGTTTTTTCCTCACCCCCGAGTTAACGTTTTTAACTCCTCACCAGTTAAGCCAATCTGGTTTGTGGTCATTTTACAACAAAGTTTGTACACAAACAAAGCACTAACTAACCAGATGCCTATGGCTTTACACATATTATAATGGACTTTCAAATAATCTGATTATTGCTTAGCGCAAAAATAAGGTTGAAAAATACACACATCTACAGCCACTTAATATTGCACTGTGTCATTATCGATGTTTGCACGTTTAGCTTCCTGGCTGCATAGACAATCCAAATAATTGTCATAGAAAATTAGGAGTGAAATATGCTTTTTTCCAGAATTCATTTTTAACTACTGATTTTGTGTCCCTTGTTCCAGTTCGTTAAAGTTCCTCCCCAGCATGGCAGCATGGCGAGGAGGAGCAAAGCAGGCTCTGTATGACCTCGGCTGCATGCCGGCACAGTGCTACGTTCATGCTGCTCCGAGAATCCCAGCCATCTCGGGGCAGAGCAGTTTCACACAACTCCAGTTATCTTCCAGCTGCTGTCACTGCTGAGCACACTTACTGCAGAAGCACTTCTCAACAGGAACACAAGTGCAACCTTGACGAGCTGTACTTGTGCACTGTTTTCTTGCTAGGATTAATTAAAATAAATACAGCAGCCCATAGCCATGTAAAACTTCCAATTACTGTTTTAATAGAAAATGTTATTAATCCAATAAATGTGAACTCACTATATGTAACAGGCTAGAATACAAAGTTATTTTAGTTAGTCAAGTACTTTCACAATCGTAAAAATTTTCTGGACATTTCCTTTATGAGACTTTCCTGTATTAACAGAAATTAAAGTAACTTGTAATCTGACAAGCTTAACTGCAGACCATATTAGTACTCCAGAGCTATTTTTTTCAGCTTGCATCCCTACGTGCATGAAACAAGTTACGTGTTTCCAGGAGTCACGGAAACGCAACCACCTCTCTGGCGAGAGAACTGCATAGAGCATATTTCTGGTGCTAAACTCTGGTGTAGCAAAGAGCAATGAATTAATTTAACCTTGGCAGAGTTGCTGTTTTGCAGGTTCGCAGGACAGAGAAGGCCTTTTGTCTGAACAAGTAGGTCTAATGGTATCACAAGTTAAGACAATAAGCACAGCGATGAAGGTGAGGCCACCTACTTCTAGGAGATGGATGGTACACCCAAGAGCAGTGCATGCAGCAGCTACTGGTACTTCCTTCAGCACCTACAACTGCCCAGAGTGCATTTCAGGCAGTGTTCAGGAACAGAAAAATCTCACACATACATATCTACCTCGAAACAGAAGTGACTGGGGTCCTACAGAAGGATGGGTAGGTGAGGAGAACACTAGGAGGACAACTAGTCAACCAATACTACTAATGCTTTCAGAAAGAACCACCAGTATATCATTTAATAGTAGATGGTAAGTTGATACTGCTAGTCCATGTTACATTTCAAAAGCAAGTTCATAGTGCTGAAGACGTCCTACAGTCCATCCTACAGGGATGGGTAGGTGAGGAGAACACTAGGAAGACAACTAGTCGACCAATACTACTAACCCTTTCAGAAAGAACCACCAGTATATCATTTAATAGTAGATGGTAAGTTGATACTGCTAGTCCATGTTACATTTCAAAAGCAAGTTCATAGTGCTGAAGACCACGTAACATTATTGTTTGCCTGCAGAAACTACAAAACAGGTCATGGAGTTACAGGAAAGGTAATTACTTCTACTCCTTCCCCAGGACACATTAAAATGACAGATGCTGGTCATTCAAAATCATCTGCAAAGCTTCGTAAAAATAAGTTCATTATACATTTAGATCTAGGCTCATGAAAGTACTACTGAAATGAACAGAGTATAAATCAAAGACGTTATCAGAGTTTACTATAAGTCTGGAAGACAAAATATTTGAATACAAAATCCCAACACCAAAATACCAATTATTCAACATAGAGATAGAACATGACGGCACGTTGAAAGGAAATAAAACTAAGTCTCGAATTATGAAAGTAACATTTCCAGCAGTAATACATCTATTACTACAATAATAATATTTGAACATTTACATACCCACAAGCTACCTTTTTTCTTCTCAATTCCGTAAGACCTATGCAGCAAGCATCATAGACCATGGAGGTATTTTTAATCCCACCTTTAGACATAAACATAGTTAACAATGCTGTTTCCTACCCTGAATTAAATTCCTTCATTAAGTATATTCACTTTTTGCAAAGACACAGTCTTAGCAAACGCTTCCAGGAGACAGCTGTCTACAAACCTAAGAAATGACCATTCACTAGCTGCTTTCATTAGACAGACAGACGCTACACTATCAAATACACCGTTACTGCATTCATAACCTGACAGTGAAAAACAGAACACACAAGACTTCCCAAAATAAGTTTATGGTAGTCAACTCAGCAAAAGACATCTGCACATTGCTCCTATCAGTACCAGGTGGCACCACCTCAGTATTATGGCAGAGAAGGCAATGCATTTGGAACTGCACACCTAAACCTTTACACCTTAAGACTACAGAAGCCAACTTTTTATTGTGAGGTTCTAATTCAAAATAATAAAAACAATTTTCATTAGTTAGATACGGTGTTCTAATTCTTAAAATTATACCTGTCTACTTCCAAAAACCACCACTGAAACAAATGGTCTTTTCCACAAAAGGAAAAGCCACAGACTCAGTCATTCTGTCCAGGCAGCTTTTACTAACACAAACCTCCTCAAATCCTACCTTGGCTGAATGGTTTCCAACGACAGTTTAACAGAAGATTAGTGCTGCTTCCAACTCTCCAGGGAATATTAGAGCTACAGTTTGTTTAATAAAGTTGAAATGAAACCATGCAACCTCAGCTAAAAATGTTACTGCAACTTAAGAGTAATTGTAACAAAGCTTCAGTTCATTCAACTGCCAAGGGTATTTTTAGTTTAATAGTGTTACTTAAAACTTAATGCTGTTTATATGGATTTACGACTCTACTGTATTTTTAAACTCGCATCTGTCCAGGTAATGATTTGTGCAGTGCCTTCCAAAACAACCCTGTGCTGGAAATCACTCTTTTTCCACTGCTTCCACCCCACAAATTTATCAACAACTCATCCTGGAGTTTTCCTTTTAGAATGAAACTGTACCTGAAGCTCAAACTACACAAACCTAGACACCCAACTCCAGCCTTAAACTCCACTTTGCCACCCACATAAAACAACTGAATTTCAGAGGGGATCCCCACCAGCTGCGCCACTGATATAAACGGGAGCTGCAGGGAATCTGTCTGCAAAAATATGGAGACAGATTAGGCTACGTAGACAGATTAGGCTGTGTAGCAGCCTGATGTTAGACAACCACATTCTGGACATTAGATACAACATTCCATTTGAAAAAGGAAGGCAGAATACATAACTGAAGTTATTCTCCTCCTTTTCATCCTACTTAAAGCTCTCAGGGGTGTGTAAAAACAAGGTTAATTATCTGAATTTTTTACTGTCTAGTACTCAAATTCTGTGACATTTACATGTGCTCAACTAACTACTCTCAAATTTAAAATCTGTTCTGTCTACAAATTATTGTTTTATATATACTATGTGGTCTATAATTTATGTATTGCAATGTCTCTTCAGGCAGCAGATACTACTCTTTTTGCTTACCCATTCCAGAACATGAAAGTGCATCTTTACATACACCTTAAATTCTGTTTAACTAAACTACGGTGGTGGAAACAACCCTTACAGTGGAGCTTTGGCAAGTTTTACAGACACATTTTCTATTCATTTCAGAAACTTTATTCTTTCCACATCCTGTAGCACTAATCCCACCCCCAACCTCCTTGTCTTTATCTTGGAAGGTTTTAAAATGCACTGTGAGTAATGTATGGTTCAACTTACAGCACAGCCTCTGTCGCTTCAAGACAAAGGTCGTACTGGAAAGCACAGGACAACTTTCTACAACAAACACCCGTGCAGAACTCGGCAAGCTGGGAAGCAAATACCTGTCTCAGCGAAAGTTCCTCTGCTGTTACAAGACTGCTAGTGATATTTATTAAGAGTCATCATAAAAACACGACTACAGAACTAAATACGCCTAATACTGGTGTTATTGCTTGTTCACTTCCTGTCTTGGAAAAAGAAGCCAATGGTTACATCAAAGCCAATTCTTCACTAACAGAAGTACCTACATTGCATACTCTCATACTTCCTTAATGCATAATGAATCTAAGCTAAGGTTTGTATAAAACATACTATTGATGTGTACAATTTATTTAAATACTTCAAGAAAGTGGCTAACGTGCCTTTTTTTTTTTTAATGGTGTAACACTAGGAGCACTATTGAGGTCAAGAATATAAGAACTGCCATGCCCCACAGCCTCAACTTGGCACCAGTAACCTTCACCTAAAGCAAGAACTAACAGAACAACTCATCTTCCTATCTTTCAGCATATGGCTGCGCTCCCAACACCCTTGTAAAGAAGTTTAAAGATTTACAGATGCATTGAAGAGAAGCAACACTAGATTTTACGAGCAAGCACTGCTGCTTATGATACAACAGTGCACATGTGAATGTTAAGCATTAAAGGAAACATTTTGAAGGGAGCCTGCCTAAAGATTAAAAGAAGTGGTTAGTCAGGCTTAATGGACTTATCACAGCTTATGCAACATAATGACTATACACCTTGACTATGACATGTGCAAAGAGAGTAAGCACAGTAAATGAATTTTAAATTCCTATTTAATATTTATTAGGAAAGTCAGACCAGCCACAAAAAATACCTTCCTTTACAATGCTTCAAAATCCAACCACAAGTATGAAAAATGCTGTGGTGATACAGAACGAGATACGTTTCAAAAGCATACAGTCATCTATTGCAGTAAAGGGTAAGAATAAAAGCACAGCTTTGAACTCTTAGTACTGCCCGAGACATTCCGGCAAGAGACACTTAACCTCTCCATGTCTCGTCTACATCAGACTGATGTTTGATAAATGTTCTAACTCTGTAAAAATATTACAAGCTACTACTAAGGAGCTGCTTTAATCAGTGAAAAGGAAAAAATCCCAATAGCTAACTGAGTGTAGGTGGAGTTAAACTGCCATGGCTACGATAAACCGACAGCCAGTTAACATAACTACAACAAACTGGACATAAAAACGAGGTGTGTATCCGTTTTCTTTCCTTTCATCCTATTAGAGATAAGTAGTGACTGCTGAAAACCAATCAGTGGTTTGGTAACCTCTATTTATACCGGAATCACAAAAGTACCATGCAAATCACTGCTGCTCATTCTAATGAAAGTGGTAACAGCACAAAAAAGCCGGTGTCACTTTTGTCTCAAAAGCCTAAAATATTTGGCTACATGAAAATAAGCAATTTTTCTAGTTTACAGGTGACCAGCAAAAAAAAAATTACCACAATGTATCAACAATGCTGGAAATCAAAACAGGAAACAAATTACTTCCTAAGCCTCTCTGGTTTTGTTCTTCCTGCTAAGAAGTTCACTTAAGGTGAAGGGTCAAGAAACTTTTGAGCTCATCTGCCTAAAGCACCTTACAACGTATCTAGTAGGCCTGGTACTTTTCCCGAGAATTCTATGCATCAGAATACCCAGCACTCTACAAACACACACCAAAAAAAATCTGATTTTCCAATGTCACTCACTCCTGGATGAAAAACAGCTTGCTGTGTCAGTGCCTTAAAAAACACACAGCCCTGCAGACACCACATATACAGAGCAAGCTGTAATTTGCAACTATCAGCACAACACTGCATTTATTCTTCACTAAAAATAACTAAACCTGAATTTTAATAAAATAGACAGCTTGATCATCCTTCAGAAAGCAAGCACAATCCACCTACCTCAAGCTCCTCCTGACTTCCAGCTTGGGTTTTAATAATTCTAATATTTTGATTTTTAAGTGACAATTTTACAGGTTCAATATCAAACTCATAGGGCATATAATTCTTTAACCAGACAATTATCTTCCCTGTAATCACTTGCTCAGTATTTCCCCCAGGAATTTTCATCCTAGTTATACATGGAAATTTTATTACTTTTTTCATTAGTCTTTATTGTGACTTAATGGCTGCAGTTATGAAGTTGTCAAGAACCAAAGCAATTACTAAAAAGATTCAAAGAGGTAAACTGTGCAAGTGAACATAAAGACTGTTTGGGAACAACCCCAAATAGGGAGAACAAACTGAAAACTGCAATGGAGGTAAATGAACCAGTTATGACTGAAAAGACAAGCTCCACACCCACCTATTCCTGCCAAAAAGGAACCCACTTGAGAATATTTTGGAGGAAAAACACAGACAAAAAAAAAAAATCTTGCCTCCTCTAATGAAAAAATTAATTCACTCTTAAGGAATCTTTCATAAACAGAGTATCAAAAGTGGCACCATTCAAATTAAACAGCGCACTTCACTACATACTTAGCAGTCTTAACATGACATTTACCAATAACAGGAATTTAAGGATAACAGCAACATGGGTTTCGTATTCTTAAAAAAAAAAAAAAAAATCGAATTATTCTGTCCATTTGTATTTCTTTCCTCCTACCTATTCTTTGGTTTTTGGTAGCAGTAGCTCATCCTGGGGATAAAGCTTTTCTTGGTTCTATCAGACCTAACCGTAATGCATATCAAAGGTTTAACATGTGTGCGGAGAACGGAAGAAGATTTAGTTATTACAATAGGATTTGCCAATTTTCTGTAACATGAATACTTAGCATTTATGTGATGCTTTTAATCTTCAAAGAGCTTACTTCTCAGTTACCATCCTCAAAAAGAATGCCATTAAGTATTACCAGCCTGTTTTACCCAAATGTAAAGTATCACAATCAGGGCACACACTGTCACATTCCTATTTGGATTATGTTTGCTTCAAGCAAAGCTAATCAGTACAGGTTCTGTGACACCCCCTCTACAAGAAGTGTGGATAGGAATGGCTACATAATAGCCCCAACAGTGAAATAATCCTCCCACCATCTGAGCACTTAAATCTTATTGGCTATATTTTATATCCTCAGGAATTAAAGGAGTCTAGTTTTATATGCTTTCCAGTCGAACCCTGTGAGCCACAGAAGAAAACTGAAAGAACCTGAAAATTCAGAAACCTCTGCAGATCATTAAAATCACTTTTACAACTGCAAATTTAAGCTCAACAGACTGCAATATTAGGGACAAAAGTAATTACTGCTACCCATTAAAGAACTGGTATACGCACTCTGAGTGACTGAACAAAGCCATTTCTAGCCCGATTAATCACACGATGCCACCCTTCCCAGCCATGGGCCCCTGTCAGAGCATTTATCACTTCTTCCAAGATGAGGTGCTGTTACTGTGCTAGATGCTCCGAATAAGTTATTGCTGACCCTGGAGAAAACACACTCGGCTAGCTGACCAGCACAGCCAGACATGGAAACAGCACAGAAAAGTGAAAGGAAAGGAGGCACAGGTGGATTCCTTTTCCACTATTATTTTCTTCTAATGCTTCTTTATAAGTTTATGTAGTTTGTACATGATTTCCTCGGATAATGGGTTTAGCTCTCAATCTGTTGGGTATTTAGAACAGACATTTAGTCAGATTTAGATTAGAAACTAAACTCTGCTCTTCTGAGCTGTCCTTCCATCGGTTTTCCTGGAAAATACACAAAGATTGTATTGTCATACGTGAACAGAACAGCTTCTGCCACAATTCAGAAAAGCTACTTCCACTTTACTACCATGAAAATCATCTAGACATTTATGCCTGTTAAGATACACAAGATTACATTATGTAACTCATTTCCAAGAAATAAACAGCCTATTAAAATGAAAGGCAAATGCCAACTATGTAAATGCACACACCACATAAGGACCTTGCTACAAAATAAATTGTAATAAAACAAGTATTTCATATCCTGCTCCCAAAGATGTCAAAGACACTAAATGCAGCTATACTATGAATCGTTCTTTAAAAAAATATAGTCAAAGCCTGAAGTTAATCGGCAACTTCTGCACAGGAAGGCAGTGGTTCCTATAGCCTGTGGTGAGGGTGAAAGGCAAGGAGTTCTAATTTGTAGTTGCTGGTATAGTTTTACTCAAGTGTTAGTCTCTGGCAGCTAAAAGAACCAACTCCACTTAAGCGTAGTACTTAAATACTACGACAAGTAAAGAATAATAAAAGATTCAGATAATATTGATACACTGCTAAACCTTAACATCTGGAGTTGGAAGAACATTATTACATTACTCAAAGTCAAGTGTTTTGGCACAAACATGTCACACACGTATGTCTACATACAGGTGACGGACATTAAAAAGCTCTGTATTTTGAGCCTTCCTATTCTTAACTCTTAACGTCTTGCTATTCTTAACATCTGTCTAAAATATCATCTCAAACTCAGATGCAAAGTGAACTATTGTAGTGTCAGATCACAAATTTATGTCTTCTGTTAGACTGTTATAAACACAGGGTAACAGGTTTGCTACGCAATCTGTGAACGGCTGAAAAATAAAAGCAGAATCACAAATAGAGACACGAGTCTATACAGGCAAGAAATAAAATAAAAACTAACATGTGGTTAGTTTTGAGACCCTACTAGGTGTTTGGTAGAACACAAAGAACTGAATCGGAGATGTTTTTTAACAGACAATAGCAATCACTATTTCCCAACTCCTTTTCCACTGCTGTACCTCCCTTTAGGAGAACTCTCCATAAACATCCAACGACTAATATTTTGAAGGACTATCCTGAAAGATGCCATATTAGTTTTAAGTATATCTGTGCTCTATTACAAAACTAGTCTCAAAATACTCATTATTAGATGTATATACTGTTCCTAAGGTCCTACATTCAGAAGAACGAAACAGCGTGTTTAGATACACTGTGTAACCACCTTCCAGTAAGTTTACTGCCACTGACCAGTTTAGATTGATGTGATGACTCAAATTTCAGAATTTCATACACCCACACTGGCCACTGTTTCACAGAAAAGTACAGAAACAGAGAAGGTATTAGAATGACTTAACACCAAAGAGCTACAATGCCCTGAACAGCATCAGCAGCTGGAATCTCCCCCTGAATCCCTGAGGAGAGACTCATGAGATAACCCCAAGGACATCAGTATCTATTAGAAGCAGCACATTTGCCTAATAAACTATGAATGTTTATTAAATATCTTATATTCTGCTTCTTAACCTGTGTTCTTGTAATGTTCTGGCTTCTGCAGGTATTTAGCCAGTGTTTGATATTAGAATGGGTGTGTATTATGGCTCCTTCCTGCTTTAACCTATCTACATTGTAATCTACTCATTATTTAAAGAACAAGATTAGTTCACACAAGACATTTACACAGCCACTCTTTAAGCAAGGTGATTAGAAGGCAACACTGAACTGCAGGTAACACAAAAAAGTGGGGAATTTGTTAGTGGCAAAAAAAATCTATTAGAATTCTTCAGGAAAAGAATAATCATGTTGTTAGCTGCAAGAGTGGAAAACAGGGACCAAAAAGTTCTGAAATTACTTTTCCACTGGTAACAACCTTCATTAACATCCTCCCAGAACAGAAAGCGGGCTATACTGCCTGCACTAACTGCTGCTGATGATTTTCCTTAAAGCAATGCTACCTCAGCTACGCAAAGTACAAATCCACGTTTCTGATTTTTAAACTAAAATCCAGGATTTAACCATATCACATTGTCAGGGAGAAAGTGGCAAAAAAATCTTTTTTACAAGACTAGGAAATTTCCAGCGCACCATAAGATTTTGTTTCTGGATAACACCTAACAACTGGAAACATTGACTGAAAACAAGTGCTTCTTCAGCCCAAAATAGATTCTTGATGCCATATTCAAGTTCATTTTTAGAACAAATGTAATCTGCAAAACTGAAGTTCTCATCATTATTATCCCAATACTTTCAGTTCTTTTTCTCCACATCCCCACACTTATTAAATGTGGCACTTCCTCTTCGCTTAGGTTTCTGAGTTTCTTCCACATTTAGTTTTTCATTCAAGGTTTCAGAATTTTAAAAGAACCATTTCCCAAACTAATGCAGTAAAACCGATCATTTAAAAGAGCTGTCAAAAAATCTAACTATATCAGCCTTAAGATTATTTGTACAGTTCCACATATACCTGTTCAAATATTTCAGTTCATGACTTGCTGCCAAAGCAGCCTGCTACAGGACAAAACCTGAGCATTTCTATTATCGCTTTGAATTAAGAAAAGGAGTATCAATTCAAAACACAAAAGAAATTTAAGCATACATTCTATATTAAATACTTAACATGAAATTAAATTGCATTATTGGATGACAACTGAACAACCAGCTAACAAAAAGCCAGAACATGAATAAAAATCCACAGCTTGTGAGGAAGAATTCAAAAGGCTTGTAATAGATTTTATTTTTAAAGGACAAAGAATACTTTCTATGCAGAATGCAATTATCTCTTACTTTGGCCTGGTGACATCGTCTCTCGTAATTTTTGGACTCAATTCAGCTCTAAACTAAGTGAAACCGCTTCAAAGGATTTGGACATTAAACAAATATATCATCAAAATAAGTGTTATACAAGACACTGGAAAGTATAGCTTCCTTTTCCCTTTGGAGTTGATGGTTAGAAGCATGTACGGCACTCGGATGACTGACGTTCCTGCCTCACTCCAGACCAGTTCCACACTGCCTTTCTCTGCGGCTTATGACATGCACAACCAAGACACCTGACCAGAAGGGAAGTCAAATCCCTTTTTAAGGTACAGAATGTCTCACAGGCTCTTAGAAGTCATTCTAAAAGTCAAAATTGAAATGTATGACAACATGTGAAGCCAGATGATATTTCTGCCCAACTTCGTAGTTTGTCCGAAGTTACCCATTACGAGTAAGGGGCTGCCCTGCTAGTTTCAACAGCATCCTTGTCCCAGAAACCCTGGATAGTTTGCAGCCCATTCCACCTTAATGTGCTGGTGCACACATTAACCTATCCAGCTTATGAATACTATTCCAGAAAAAAAGAGATCGTTATGTTGCACCAAATACCCCCGTGGTAAGCACAATGAGTAGTAAGCCTCATCAGCACATCTCCACGTGATGAGAGAGGCTTGTTATGTGTCATGATAGGCTAGACAGAGAAGGGAGAGGAGGATTTAAACATCCTAGAGATCACTGCATGTCACTCGCTATGCCAAGTCACCCTACCTGGGACAGCTAATCACTTTAGGGGAGGTAATGATTCAGTTCAGTAACAATTCCAGTGCTTCTGCCATTTTTACATTAAGTAATGTATGCACAGGGAAATAAAACCTGGTCATTACAAACTGCCTTGATTATCATGTGTCCAAACCTTTCTCAGGCATATCCTACTTTGCCTCAAAACCAAAATAAAGGCCTTGCTGCAAATGATAGCCTATTTTTTTAAAAAAATGTACTTCTGTTGAAGTATTAGATTATTTAACCAAGAAACACTCATCTCTGTCCTAGAACTCAGCCACGACAATATTACACTAAAATAACAATGGACTTTTTTAATTGTCACGGTAATGAATGACTTAATGGTCTACACAGAAAAATTCTGCATCAGTTTTTAAACAGATTTGGTGAACCACTAAAAAACTATATGTACACGTTTTGTTTCAAACTAATATGCAAACCCAACTTATATCAAGAATGACTAATCCAGAAGAGCTATGACACCAGTTTAATAAAACTGCAGTTAAGAGATGTACTCCTTCCAAACATGTCCCCACCTACAAGGACTACACCAACCCTGCTCAAGTGTAAACACAAGCTCATAAAAAAAACCCACAAACTCTTTTCAGAGGTGTTAAAATTAACTATGTGAAAAAGAAATGCTAAGCATTGTTACACAGCTAAACTGAAAACACTAATGCTATACCACACAGTCATCACTAACAAAAGTAGGCTGTCCCTGAAGAAATCACAAAAGAGAATGTACATTAGCATTTTGCCAGTCTTTAGGCAAGCCAGGTATTTTTTATTCCGGACAGCAATAATATAGTATTCAAAGTTTTGTGAATTAGACCCTTTTAAACTCTTTGGCAGGATCTACCTTAATGAATTTCTCTTCTACTTCATCTTCCCCCAAAGGCTTTATTGTCTCATTATGTAAATGACCTTTTCATATGAAAACTAAATGTTAAAGATGCTTTTTGTAGTTCTTCAACCCTGCAAATATCACATGGGCATTCACAGTAATTCAGACTAAGTACAACTTAAAGAAAAAGCTACTGATTCAAGCAAGGTAACAAATTAACAAGTAACTTGGGTTTAAATTACTTAAAAAATGAAAGTTTTATTTAGTGTTAACCTCCAGAACTTTCTTTCCCATACAGAAACTTAAACTGTAATAAAACGGATGATTTCCTAAACACCCCCCGAATTGTAGACTGTAAAATGCAGTTCTGAAAACACGCACGCAGAACCTGAAGACCTGCATATACGCTTTCAGCGTTCATTGGATGTTCCTTGTGGAACCCAACTAACATTCAATACCCAACTGGAGCTCACTAAAAGAGAGGCTGGGCAGTTCAAATCAAACACTGTGCTCCTGAGTAGCTTCCACTGAAGACCAAGCCCTCATGTTATTCTGTAAGCTACTACCAAATGGTTTAGTACGGACAACTACCTAGGATGCAGTAACAAAGTGGACAACAAACACAACAGTCGTTACAAAGGCAAAGACTCAGCAGTCAAGGACAGGCAGAAAAACTCTCACTGTTTTTCTACTCATTAAGCATACAACTTCATCTCAGAGGTGTCTGCAGGTACCTTACTCTGCAAGGATCCACGGCGAGACCAAACATTTTATAGTGCACTCCTGGTCCCTCAGGCAGCAGCACTGAAACAACACCGCAGCTCCCAACCCAAGGAGGAACATACCACCTCCCTGGCTCAGCAGGACTCAAGAGGATGCACAGCTCCCCGCAGAGCAAATCTTTAAAATTAACAGACTACCGTTAAATAACCGAGGAAGCCCTAAAAACCCAACTAGGTAACTCTGGTTTACAGCAGTCCTTGAAATAACTTGGTCAGTGGACAGAAACAATTCTGGTATTTGAAAATGCAACACTTGTTCTAGCCCTCCTCCGCTTCTTTTCTGTATGATCACTGTATTTTGAGTATCTTCTCAAACCAAAAATAGAGCAGGATTGTTTTAAAAATAATTAGTAGCCAAGTCATACAGATGCCATGATGAGAGCCCAAGTAGACACAGCTCATTAGACCTACTTTCACTCCCCATATACCAAATTATTTAGAATGAACGTATGAATTCACAACCTATCAAAAATATACTCAATTTTCAGAAGATGCTGTATCATTTAAATGACAGATATTAGTAACATCTGACTTTTTCAAATACAGAAAAATCATAATCAGTCCTATCACAAAGAAGCAGGTTTAGAATAATCCTAATTTACAGATTAAATAGACATATCTCACAATCACATTACTTGCTGTGTTCTTCTTTATTCTCACAAAGCTTGTCAGCCCTAAACAGGCACATTTTTTGAAGGCTATTTCATTTTTTTGAGCACTGAGGAACTGAATGCCTTACTTATTTTATGAAATGAGACAGTAGGCTGGCTTCCCTTTGAGCAGAAGTAAGGGGGTGAGGGTTGTTTTACTCACTTCTCCCATAATGCCAGCAGCCAGAAAGCCTAATAGTGTTACAGGTCAAGTACAACAGCACTCAAGTAGCCACTTTTTTTTTTTCTTTCACATTTCATTAGAGAGGCTTCATACCATTTTGAAAAGCTTCCTAGTTCTATTTCTGTCTTATTTTATTTTCTCCATACAACACAGTCAGGTAGATTTAGGACCCTGATGTTATATTTCATAAAAACAAGGCTTTACAAAATTCAAGATGAATAGAAATACTTTACAGAATCTATCAGGTTGGAAAGTATCTCAGGAGGTCACCTAGCTCAACCCTGTGATTGAAACTGGGTCAACACTGAACTGAAACCAGCTTGCAGAGGGCTTTGTCCAGCCAGGTCTTGAAAACCTCCAAGGATGAAAGTTCAACAACTTTCTCCGGGCATGTACATTAAAAAAAAAAAAAACAACCAAAGGCCTGCTGTCACAGGAGTGAAAACTAGAAACTAATTAGAAAGAGGTGACCATGAAAATAACTGATTTCATTGATTAACATACAAGAAATAAAGCAGAACAAGCAAGAGACACATGAGCTACGAGACATATAGGCATGTAATCCATAAAAATAAATAAATATTTTGAGAACTCAATTTTGGTCTACATCAATATAAGAAAATTATATTGCGTATTATACATATTATAGCCTGATGGTATACATTTAGCTTATATCAAGACATTTAACACTCAAAACGAGGATGTGTTCAGCTTATCCTTTAACTTCCAGCCACCATGGCTGCAATGATATTATCTATTTACGCTCATTTGGCAGCTTTCCTGACTGCTTTGATTTGAATCTCTAGTAACATGCTGACAGGCCAAAAACACATCTAATATTATGAGACTACTATTACCTAGAGACATGATTCACCTGTTGAAGTGAGAAACCAGAGGACTCCCTGCATTTACTGAACCTTATTTCAAAGTTTTAAGGGTTTTTTGCTTTAAGATGTTCAACTGTTTCTTGTTTATGAAATATTTACATTCTTAAATCCTCTTTTATCAGATGTACATCACTGTGTGCACATCCGACATTTAAGCACTTACTCACCAAGCTACCGCCATGCTTGGTACAGCTAAACCATCTAAGAATTACTAAAACCCTACTAAAGGTAAAGCAGTGAGCTCCTGCAGAACCAAAGCACGTGCAGAAGCTAAAGCAGAAGGTAACGTTTTCTCTAACTTGTAATTTTCAACTGGTATTTCATAAAGAACTTCTAAAGACAAAAGGCAACACAGGAAAGGAAACGCTGTTAGTTGACTCAAGCTCAGTATACAAATGTTCCTCATTTCCAATAGGAAACAACTCAGGCAGTTTTAAGTAAGAAGAGGTTGAAAACCACTGAGTACACTTCTCTAAACTTGGAACCTGAAGTAAGAGAAAGCCGTCACTCCAACTTAGCAGATGAAGCATTACACATAAATAACCTCTCCTTTAATAGCAGCCTCTTTTTATCAGTTTGTGGAAGCTTAGAGCAGAATTCCTCCAGTCACTTGTGCACTGTAGTACATGTTCAGCAGAGACTACTGAGGTATCCTCCCAAAACAAACATTAGAACCAAATGCCAAAGTTGTGAAATAATTACTGCTCTGTGAATTTGAGCAGCTACTTGCAGCTCTACAGATTTATAAACAGGAAGTGTGAAGCTATGCATTCATACCTGCTTTAATCATATGACAAAGCCCTAAAGCCATCAAATACTGGCTGACATAACAAGTCTTGCTGTATAATCTAGACTGTCTCAACAGTGGATCCTATTCATTCTGATAGCAAAAAAAAAAAAAAGAGGGCTGAGCAAGATCTAGGCATTTTCATCACATGCATTTGAAAAATCAGCTTCTTAAACAGAAGGACACAGATTTACACCCCTAGAAACCAATATATCCTCAAGAACATTCACCTACTTATGGTGTCCAAGCACTGTTTTTCAGATACAAAAAACTGGCTTTGTGGGATATCAAAAGAAGAGAATAAGCCACTAAAATGGTTCCCTGATCATTTCTCCTAAAAATGCATCTGGGATTTAGAAAGCTAATTTCATAGTCTGGAGTAATAAAAAGTAGTCTTCGATGGGCTCAGGGGCTGAGTCCATGGATTTTGTCACCAGGTTGAGATAAAGACAACCTCAAATTGATGATTATGAATTTGCACAAGTTTTCCATCATCCTTTTGTCAGATTTATTGCAATAGTATGCTTGAGGATGTTAATCATCAGACACCAGATATATATATGCCTTGATTTAAATAAAACAAATGTAGCTATTTTTCAAATCCAATCAAGACACAAAAGGTCATTAGCAAGATTTATCCTCTGCCCGTCACACAGCATTAGCCATTATTGGAAAAAATACGAACTAACCTTTTTGTGGATTAAAGGAGGTTTTCGATTGCTTTGACAGGCTGCTTGTTCTCCAATTGGTAGCATCTTTGAGATACACAAACGGGAAAGAAAGCTGTCTTCAAAAATTACTATTTTGTGACCTCTCCAGAGGCAAATCCTGCAAAACTGATAGACCTACAAGTTTTCCCTCTGCATTAGCCGGTGTTTTCAATGCATGCATGTTTTTGAAAGACAGCACTATCTGTGTTCTTTCTTTCTGCTCTTCTTCTCAGAGATCATTGTGCACAAGACACAATGAAACATTTATCAGCAGCCACTCATTTCTTCAAACAGCACACTCCCTGACCACACTGACGTTGTGGCAGTTCCCCCTTCTTCCATCCCAGCACACATCCAACAAAAAACTTGCTTAAAGCAGAAAGAAAACCCTGTCTTCCTCTCTGACACAAATGTGACAGACCCATGATTTCTCACTGACATTTCTTTTGTTTAATTGGTTACCTGACTGAATACTTAGCGTACATAAGCTGAAAATGGACCAAGCTAGCATGACCTGCTTTAAGTGGCATTCACAGAAACTTTTCACTATAGATTATAGAATCTCGTAGTTTTCAAGTCCCTTCAAAAATTTACACTCAGTCTGTGACTATATTCTGAAAGTTACTTAAGCAGAATACATTAACAGTCACAGCCCTTAGGGATCTGAAATAGACTGGCCATCAATACCACGTAGCCATATTCTGAGGAATCCTTATTAAAATATTCTATACACAACATGGCACAGGGCTGCAACTGCTGTGCTGGAGCTAATACAACAGTAATAGAAAGTTCTTCCTTTTATAAAGCTTTATTGGCCCAAAGACAGCCCTTTAAGGAATCGGGCGTCAAGGCAGCCAGCAGAACAAGTAAAAGATGAGGCAGATGTTAGAGCACTACCTCCTTGGCATAAAGCAAGGCCTAACACTGGGCAGTTCTCAGAAAGAGCGAGCAGCCAGGCAGCCTGATGAACAGAATAGTAGTAGAGTCGGAAATCAGAGGCACACGTTGGAAAAGGCAACAATGCTGACAGAGGTAGGGAAGCCTGCCTGACTTGCGGCACTGCCCTAGGAAGAAAACTGGTGTTGGAGCTTAGGGCTAAGAAAAAAAGCAACAAACTCAAGAGCCACATTACCAGTTTTTGCCATCACAAACTAAGTTTGATAAAATAACCGATAATCTTATGCCCAGTTTTGAATGAAGCACTTCTCTTACTTCACCTGTAATGACCCCTTACAAAAGAAGGAGGTCTGCAGGGTCAGGAAGAGCTCTTACCACAAGTTCAGAACCCATACCTTTTCCACAGCAACAGGTAAAGTGGTTCCTCTGGCTGCCATAAATAAGATATTGCCATAATTTGGCAATTATGAGAGAGATGCCTGAAGTAGCATCCCTTACTTTTCACTCACAAACTACACAACTGGACATGGATTTTACAGAGCACGAGGGAAAAAGGGAGACTAACAAGACTCACTGTGACATGCACTGGTGGACACAACTTCATCATGCCCATCCACATGGCCACATCATCCGCAGCACAGTCAGCTGTCACAGCACAGCAGGAATACAGAAAAAATAAACTGCAGTTCCATCTCATGCTCAAGGGTGAAAAAGACCATTAACACCAGGCTGCTCTCACATTTTCACCTCCTTGAATAGAAGTTACATTTTAGCTAGTTATTTATATTGTGAGTGTTTAACCACAAAAACTCTCCTCACTTTCACGACCTTTGCTTACTCCCAAAATGGAATTGCAATAAATAAAATTGCAACCATTCACCACTTAAAAGTCAGCCTTATTTTCTGAAGCTTACAGAACCAGCAGCCCTCACTGCATTTCTCCAGGTACTCTGAACAACTGAAATAAGAACTAGCGTCTCAAAAAATATGGTTTCAACAGTCTGAATGATTACTATTTCTACAGCTATAGCTAACCACTACTGACTACATATGAAGAATTCTGAGTTGAAGAATTTGTATAGTATCATGTAATATTAAAATTTGTTGGCATTTAACAATCAGGGCACAATATTAGAGAAGGAAGACCTAATTAGACATAAATACATTTGGCTTTCTTTTTTTAATGTTTATGTTTATCCATTATCACTGCTTGTGTCCACAGAAATGCCACAAGCACCAGCATGGTTCTGTGCAAGTAAGAATGGCCTAACAAATAATGTTTTGATAACTAGCCTGTTTTATACATACAATGATTCACTGGTTAAATAAACAACATAGTTATTTAGCAAAACATCAATTTATATTAGAGAGCCTAAAACAACCTTTCTGTTCTCCTACAGAAAAACAGTATTAAATGCCACATACGGATAGAATAACACAGAAGAAAATATTACAGTCACTGAGCAAGAAATAATTTTATGTAACTCTGAAAGAAATCAATCTTATTTTTATGTCAAGTAAACTTCTAATTATGAAACATCCAGATTGACTTCCTAGATCTTGAAGCATTATACAAGTTTAAATCTAACTTCAAAATTCAAAACGTTTGGGTTTTCTTATTTGTAAACTCTGGAATATGCATCTTGACCAAATTAATGTATTTTCCAGCAAAGAGCTTATTTCAAACACTTCCTGTTATATTCCACTTCACACCTCTACCAAGCTATATTTATGACTCCAGCTCTTCTAAAAATACATACACCAATGCTTTTAAAAACTTCCCATACTTTCACTAGAACCGAAATTCTTCAAGGCTGTTATGTTTAAAATCTGCAGTGAAAGTGAGTTTGAATCACATATTTGCTTCTTCTGCTTGACAGTATGTTGCTCCATTTCCTATTTGACATGGCATCCCTCAGAGGCTCCACCATTAAAAAAAAAAAAAATCCCATTTCACATTAATTTGTTTTTCCTTCAATTAACACTCAACGTTTCCTGCCAGTTTTCCCTTATCACTCATTACATGCTTCTCAGATGTAAGCCGAAATAAAAAGGGCAGCCATGTGTCTGTTTGAGCTTAAGAAATTTATCAGCACTTTAAATATCAAACAGGTGAACTGCTTTAACTGTCTGTACTACATCACGTGAATCCACAACAGACCAACAATTATCAAAAACTATCCTCCCTGCAAACCACGTACTGTTGAAAATTACCGTCCCTCTTTGTCCTTGGACTTGGATATCAGTTCTAGAGCAAGGTAGCTGACAGGGTGTAGCTCGCCTGTCGCCTCGGAGCCCTGCAGCTGCAAGTATTCAGCGTTTAGCTTGTTTATGTTATCCCTTCGCTAGTTCCTCTTTAAATACTCCGAGAGAAATCTAGAAACGGACTAAAAACGCCCCATATGTAACAAACCACGCACAAGCTACATCCATCTTCCAACCCAGAGATGCAGATGCGTGCTTCCTATCACGGAGAGCAGCAAGTAAACATGAGGAGGCAGTCGGTAGGAGCGAGACCCGAGCTGACAGGCGCGGCAGCACGGCAAGTCCTGTCACATCGGGATGGCAGGATTTCCCAAGGCCGTTCTCCGGGGTAGCTAGGGGAGCCGGCGAGCGACAGGCAAAGGCAAGGCCGACGGCTGCGAGACAGCGGAAGGGTCTGGCGGCAGCAGCGCCCGCCGGGTGCCCCTCGGCGCTCTCCCTGCCCGCCTGGCTACCGGCTGGGCGGCGGGAGTGGGACG